GATTACTGTCAACTGTGCCACCAATGATGAGGACGTGGTCTGCGATAAGATATGCAATAAAATGTTAAACTGTGGCAAACATTTCTGTCAAAGAGGCTGCCATTCAGACAAATGTGTTGTCTGTCCTATCGTTAAAACTCAACACTGTTTTTGCGGTCAAAATGAAAAACAAGTTGAATGTAATGTTGAGAATAATTTGGTCGAAGAATATTCGTGTCAACAGATATGCAATAAGACCGTCAACTGTGGCCAACATTCGTGTCAACAAATATGTCATTTCGGGAAATGCGAGGACTGTTCACTAGATCCCAAATTAGTAACTCATTGCTGTTGTGGTAAAACACAATTAAGTTCTTTGGCACCACATGCCAAACGCCAGTCCTGTACTGATCCCATACCCACTTGTGATATGATTTGCGATAAAGTGTTAGTCTGTGGTCCTGATAAAGAGCCGCATAGATGTAGCAGTGGTTGTCATACCGGGCCCTGTCCTCCGTGTGGTCAGAAGACAGTGATAAGGTGTCGGTGCGGTGCCAACAGTGATAACATTGAATGCATTGAATTGAGTGAAAGTGAGAGAAAAAGCTTTAATTGCAAGAAGCGATGCAATAAGAAGCGGGTCTGCGGTCGACACAAGTGTTTGTTTGAGTGTTGTATTGATTCCGAACACAAATGCTCGCAAATATGTGGCCGAAAGCTGTCTTGCGGTGGACACACCTGCGAAGAGCTCTGTCATAACGGGTCGTGTCCTCAGTGTTGGAATATTTCTTGGGATGAGTTGACCTGTCGGTGCGGCGCCGCATCTAAACTGCCACCCATTGCGTGCGGCACTAAACGGCCTGAATGTGGACTCGTTTGTTCACAATATCACGGATGCAATCATCGGGTGGACCACTTGTGTCACGACGACGCCCAGTGCCCGCCCTGTACTTACTTCGTGCCCAAGCCTTGCTTTGGAGAACACGAGTCGCGACCCGTTCAGTGTTACGAAGACAGCTATTCCTGTGGCTATTTATGCGGTAAACCACTCGACTGTGGTCTTCATGACTGCCAAATGATCTGCCATTTTGGAGACTGCAATGAATGCACTCTTCCGTGTAATAAGACTCGCGAAGACTGTGACCACTTGTGTGAGGCTATTTATGCGGTAAACCACTGGACTGTGGTCTTCATGACTGCCAAATGATCTGCCATTTTGGAGACTGCAATGAATGCACTCTTCCGTGTAATAAGACTCGCGAAGACTGTGACCACTTGTGTGGACTCCGGTGCCATCAGAAGACATCACCGGAGAAGTGTCCCAAATCTAACTGCAAAATAATGATTAAAGTGTTGTGCAGTTGTGGTCGAAAGTCGGAACAAATGCCGTGCTTTAAAGCCAATGACGACAACGCTTCAAGACTTTCGTTGAATTCGTTGGCGAATCAGAGGATCAAAAACGGCGAAAGTGTTAACATCAGTGAGATTATGAAGAATCTGAAAGACTTTAAATACATTCAACTGAAGTGTGACGAGAAGTGTGCGGTCACTGAGAGGAACAGACTATTGGCCGAAGCGTTGGACATTAAAGACGCTAACTTTAGCCCAGACCCCGGCCCTCCCAAGTACTCGGATACGCTTAAGAACAGCGCCCGATCTGAGCCCTCATTTGTTGCCGACATTTACGACAAACTCACGAAATTAGTGTTGGAATCGCGACAATCAAAACTGAATTTCAAGAATTTGAATTTCCCTCCAATGAACTCAGAGCACCGGCATGTCATCCACGAGTTGGCCGAACACTTTGGCTGTAAGACTCACGCCATGGATCGGGAGCCCAACCGCAGTGTTGTGGTGAAGGCCTCCAAAGACAAGTGTTATTTACCGACACTTAGTCTTATGGATGCCATGAAAGAAGAGACGGACACTAAGACCAAGAATAAGATAACTCTTAAGAATTATAGCTTCGATTCGGGAACTAATGAGTCGAACAGCAAACTGACGGTCAATACGAGTCACTCAATGATTCGCAACATTACCGCCGATACTAACCAATCGGTTAAAGAGTCAAATGAAAGCTCAAAACAAATCGATTATTTCGACTTCAAAGGTGACTAAAACTATATTCACATTGTTTTTAATGTTTAAATTGAATTGTTTTTAATATGGAAATTGATTTTTAATATTACTGTCATATTTTTGTAAGGAATTAATAAGCATTTAATTATTTTGAGATTGTTTTATATTTAATAAATTAATTTTTATGGGAATAAATTGTGTTCAATTCCTATCCAAATGAGTACTTTTGGCATTTAATCAGCGGTTGAATGTCAGGCAATCATGAGAGAGATTAAAGTTTATGTAATTCATATGGTTAGGCAGTGATTGCAGTGAACACGTGTTTCTAACTGAATATCAAAAGTTTGTTTAGCGTAGCATTGAGTGAACAGAATTGGTTTCGTCATCCATTGCCACAGAAATCTTATCAATGGATTTATTACTACACAGTTGTGAAAGTCATCACATATTTTATTACAACTTTTTCTTATATAATATAGTTTTAGTAACTAATTGTGAAAAGCGTTATCTCTTAAGCATGAAAGTGGTCTTGAATTATAAGATATTTCTATGATATATGGACTTTAGAGATACAGTACCTGTGATAGTGAGCTATTGAGCCATTTATTCAGCGGTAAAGCAAAGCCAATAAAATGAACGACAAATTTGTTTTATTTTAAAATAAACTTAACTTTAAAACAAAACCACAAAAATAACAATACTTTTGCGTTAAATCTACTAATTTTGAGTAAAAGGCAAAAAGTACCGGTATATCATTTCTTGAATAATTTAGACAATTATAAAACAATTTGAATATCGAGTCATAAATACGAATTAAATATTAATAAATCCTAAACCAAAGCCTAATATAATTGAATGAATAATTAATTACTAAAACAATAAAACAGAGCAATACTTGAATTGAATGAAAGTTTTAAATTAGATTATTGTGCCTAACATTGGATCAATTGATGCACTATTTGGTGGACTGCTCTAAATATGCGATCAGATCCGCCCTCTCGTTCTTCTTCTTAAGTCCGGCGAAAACCATTTTAGTGCCCGGAATGTACTTCTTTGGGTTCTCCAGGTACTCAAACAGCGTCGCCTTACTCCACGTGATCCCTGTCCACCACAGTATCATTAGTATCATTAGCACCATTAGCACCACTACTATCACCACAACTTTCACCACAACTATCACCACAACTATCACCACAACTATCACCACAACTATCACCACAACTATCACCACAACTATCATCACAACTATCACCGCAACGGGTCATACCTTTCTTGATGTTCGCCTCCGTGTAGTCAAAGCCCGCCATTTGACCCGTTTTGCGACCAATGAGGCCGTGGAGGTTGGGTCCGGTCTTATGGGAACCTCCCTTCTCGACGGTATGGCACTGAGCGCACCGCTGGACGAACACCTTCTTCCCCTTCTCGGCATCTCCTGCAGGGATGTCAGCCATTGTCTGCACGGATCACAACATATATCATCACATTATCAACAGATAGTCATCTCCGGTCGAAGTGATGCAACACTTGTCGGCATTGCTCTCCCGCCTGACCTTCAGGTGGACATCACTTCCACTCTCGAAGACTACTTTCAATGCCATTGATATTCATTTATACTTACAATTGGTTTGAGTTATGAATGGATTGAGGATTGAATTGAACTGAAGAAGTGATCACTGAATGTGAGAATCGATTGAATATATCGTGACTTTCACTCCAATAGTGACCTCTTTTCTGGAGATAACCTTCACTTGCGATTCAAGTATGCGTTCATTCGTTCATATATTACGTCACGTTTTACGCATTCATTNTCAAGTATGCGTTCATTCGTTCATATATTACGTCACGTTTTACGCATTCATTTCACACCCCTTTCCACTCTATTCTATGCACTCATTCGTGCGATACTTTTACATCTTTTATGGGTTTTCCCAAAAAGGTTCAAATATTTGACTTTCCTGTCATTTTAGGACTATTTTCAATCAGAATTACATTGCGTTTACACATTGAAAAGACTTTTATAATAAGTGTAAGCATTTCCGTCAATTCCATTCCTGTTTACTATTCAAATAAGACGTTATCATACAATAGGGGAAATAATAAGGGGAGTTGCGGTTAACCGTACAAACTCTATGACAGAATATTGTTACCATTGCAATGGGGTTTCGCATGAATTTGAAGGTTGCTATTCGTCACACCGTTTGTGAGTATTATTGCGTAATTCATGCCTAAAATTAGAGTACAATCGTTGGAAATATTTTGTGGACAATAACCAAATGAATGATGGGATGAAAGTGAATGAAAAATACCATACATTTGGTAATACATGCAATGCATTGAAATATTTGGCGAATATTTTGAATGCATTTTAAATTACGTCCAAAACTTGTGAACGAAAAGCAAAACCAAAACAAAACGAAAACAAGTGACGAATGAATACAACATTTCATTCACTGATTGTGTGTTTCCTTTGAATTGATTGTCATTTTGAGTGCAATTTATGGCAAAACTAATGAACACTTGTTTCTTGAGAGCAATGAACAGACAATACATAAGCCATGCCTTGAATGCAATGGACATTGAGTGCAGACATCGAGTGCTGAGCGATGTCTTCGTCTTCAGTGTGCGGACTCTCACCACTCACTCAGCGGTGAATCACATGAAGACATCCTCTCAGAGAAGACACGCCGAGACACAGACCGCGTCCTCCGAGACCATTGAGATCAGCGATAATTGTGTGAAACAAGTGAAGAAAGTGATGGATAAGAGCGAAGACATGTTAAGAGTGGAAGTGTTTAGCGGTGGCTGTTCTGGTCTTCAGTACCGCTTCGATATGACCGACAAAACCACTGCCGAAGACGTGGTGTTCTCGAGGAATGGCGTGAAAGTGGTGGTCGACAGGGAGTCGCTGTCGTACATGAAGGGATCAACTGTGGACTACAGCAGTGAACTGATCCGCAGTGCCTTCCGAGTGGTGGACAACCCTCTGTCACAACAGGGCTGCTCTTGTGGCGCATCCTTTGCCCTCAAAGTCGACAATGGATTCAAACTCAAGACTTAGT